TGAGTTCAGGGGCCTACCTGTCTACACTGGGGCCTACCTGTCTACACTGGGGCCTACCTGTCTACACTGGGGCCTACTTGTCTACACTGACCTACTGCCTACCCCTCTACACTGGCCTGGGTTTACTTGTCTACACTGGGGCCTAGCTGTCTACACTTAAGTCCTACCTGTCTAACCTGGGGCTTACCTGTCTACACTGGCCTGGGTTTACCTGACTACACTGGGGTCTACACTGAGGCATATTCATATACAGTTTGTATTGAGGTGTTTTTGATTAATTTTAGTGTTAGTATAATCAGTTTTCTCCTAACATAATTACATTGTGAGTCTTGCAGATGTTTCAGAAGATGAGAATTCCTCAAATACGGGATCCAAGTCTGCCGGCATTGGATGATTTACCAGAAAGCTACCAATCCAAGATATCATTGATTGGATGTGGACCTGCATCTATAAGTTGTGCAACGTTCCTGGCAAGGCTTGGATATAGCAATATAGTTGTATATGAGAAACAAGAATATGTCGGTGGTCTCAGCTCTTCAGAGATTCCACAATTCCGCCTTCCTTTTGATGTTGTCTCATTTGAAGTGGAACAGATGAAGGATTTAGGAGTCAAGGTAACAAAATATTTTCATTCCCAACAGATAAAAGGTGTTTTTCACATATTTACGATACTAATTATTATAATCTCCATTGCTATTTGGTTTAAAAATGGCCAGCTTGCGGCTGCTTTGCTTTTTTTCAGTATGTCCTGCTTTCATATTGACCACAATATTACAATTCTCTTGGTCTACAATCATTAACAATGAACATGCATAGAATACTGTCATTCGTGGCAAAGAAAAAAGTGGTTTACTTGCTCATAGTTAAAACAGTGACCACAAAACAATGTACAGTTGTTTTTTTCAAGTCAATATTGTGACTGTCCTGTATGACCATGACACTGTAGTGGTGTTCATGTTATGGATCTCGGCAATGTGCTGAGAATAGTGATCGAGTATCCGTGTGCTGAAAAAACTTGATCTCGGTTGCAACAAAGTGTTAGGATTAAAACTTGGTCTTTGATGTTGAACTTAAGAGAGCATGTACTTATTCATGTGGGAAGAGCAGCCATCTTGTCAAGAAACATAAAGTTGGATGCTGAAGTAAGAACACATATTTAATAGTGAATGGAGAGAAGATGACATTATATTTCACATGATGAGCCGAGCAGGTCCTGATGTGGGTCCGCATTACATGAATGCAAGTGCAATCCCAATGCAAACATTAAGTGTTGAGAAAATTGGGCGTGTTTGAGACCATATAATGTGAACCTTTGCTAATATCGCCAACCCTTACTACCATTCAAAGTCTGTGTGAAATCACCATGAGTTTCATGCTTGGTATATACATAATTTGTGATCTGATATAATATGGCTGACTGGTGGCCATTTTTGTCTTATTTCTCATTAAATTTGGTTTACAGATGCAAAAATGATTTTTTCTTGATTCAATAATTTTAACCATTCTGGTCTTTTTTATATGGCAACAATTATTGGCAATTCAAATAAAGCATGAACTGAATAAAATTACGGGAACAAGCAAAAAACAGAACAAAAGAAATTTGATAATTTGAATAAATGAGAATAATAAAAACTTAGGACACTTCAAGTTTCTTGTAAAAAAGTTTAAATAGTGTGTGACAGGTTTGAATCGTTTGTGTGTTGATAATGGCAATAAATTTATTAATGTAATTGTTTAGTGACAGCCAGAAATAAATGTCTTAAATCTTTTCAGGTTGAGTTTGGTAAAGGCTTAGGTATAAATGGAATGTCCTTGCAGTCACTCAAGGAGAATGGTAGCAAAGTGGTGTTTATTGGTATTGGTATGCCACAGCCAAAACTCATTCCAATATTTCATGATTTGGCCATGAAACATGGATTCTATACATCAAAGCATTTTTTACCTCTTGTTGCTGCAGCCAGTAAAGCAGGTATGTCACATGCAACAGTTTTTTCAAGCCCCCTGGAACATGAATACATATGCCTCTATAGTCATGGAACATAGTGATGAGACGCCCAAATATGGATACATTTGGCATTTACATGCCCAAATATAGACAAATGACATGTAAAAAATATAAATACATTTGTTAATGAGATGCATTTGATAATGAGATTTCCAAATATAGATTATTTGGTAATAAGATGCCTAAATATGGATATATTTGGTAATGATATTACCAAATATGGATATATATTATAATGAGATGGATGTCCAAATATGGATGCATTTGGTATTAAGATTCCCAAATATGATAGCATTTGGGTAATGAGATACCCAAATAGGAATACATATAGTAATGATATGACCAAATGAGGATACATATTCTAATGAGATGCCCAAATATTGCAATGATACAGTTTGCTCGAATATGGATGCATTTGGTAGTTAGATGCTAAAAAATGGAAATCATTTTTATTACTTGATAGGTATGTGTAGTTGTAAATCCTCACTTCCTGAGATACATGGTAATGTAATTGTTCTTGGTGCTGGTGACACAGCATTTGACTGTGCTACATCTGCTCTACGCTGTGGAGCAAGGCGTGTCTTTGTGGTTTTCAGGAAGGGTTTCACTACAATCAGGGCTGTACCAGAAGAGGTATGTATCAGCAACACTTACTCTGCATATCACTGCACAATGCCTCTATACTGATCGGTCATAAACCCACTAACAGATTTTCAATTTATTTTGTTCATTGCAAGCATAATAGAATGTAATTAAGATGTGATATTGAGGGTCATGTGATGTTGAGGGTCATGTGATGTTGAGGGTCATGTGATGTTGAGGGTCATGTGATGTTGGGGTCATGTGATGTTGGAGTCATGAGATTGATATAAATTATCAGACATTCAAGTGACTAGTTGTCGTTGTCAAGAAATGAGTGTTGAGTAATAGCGCCATCAGTGTCGGTTTTCTTGCAATAATGGGGGGGAGGTTGATTTCTAGTTTGCGAAATTTTTTCCTGATTCTCCTAGTTTTCGTCCTTCTGATGAGCTATCAAACATTTACGCGGCCCCCTACACAGGCGAAATTGGACACTTTTTAACCCCAGAGCTCACAAGTTTCTAAGGTAACGATGGAAGTCAAAACTTGTCTAATGATGTAATACAATCCATTCGCAGTGTTCCAAAATTTATTATAATTTGTTAAATCATATTTACCTTTCACCAATTGATATATTGAGTATCATCCAAACTCTTGGGTATGGCTTGACCCCAAATCTGGAAAGACTTGAACTTAATTTACTTGTATGCATCATAATATTTCAGATGGAATTGGCCAGGGAAGAGAAATGTGAGTTCATGCCTTTTGTTGCTCCACGGAAAGTGCTGGTTAAGGATGGTAGAATCACCGGGTTAGAGCTATGCCGTACTGAACAACAAGATGATGGTAGTTGGTTTGAAGATGAAGAACAAACTGTTCGACTCAAAGCAGATTTTATCATTTCAGCATTTGGATCCTCACTCACGGATGACATTGGTGAGACAATTTTGAGATTCCAACCAGTGTGTGAAAATCACCATGGAAACAGTGTTATTTCAACCCCCACCCTGAAATCATCCGTGGTATTATGGCATTATCTGGGCGGTGTTTTCACAAATATCTAAACAGTTTTCATTAAAACCACAGGCAGTTTAGAATTTTGTCTATGGGTGCTATGATTAAATCATTATGTATAAGATCCCCTATGGGAGTACATGGTAGAACCATGGATAGTATGCAAGATATTCTATGGGAGTATATGATTGAACCACACACTATATAAGATATTCTGTGGGAGTATATGATTAAACCACACACTATATAAGATATTCTATGGGAGGTTAGGATTGAACCACACACTGTATATAAGATGTTCTATGGGTGCTATGATTAAATCATTATGTATAAGATCCCCTATGGGAGTACATGGTAGAACCATGGATAGTATGCAAGATATTCTATGGGAGTATATGATTGAACCACACACTATATAAGATATTCTATGGGAATATATGATTGAACCACACACTATATAAGATATTCTATGGGAGTATATGATTGTACAACACACTATATAAGATATTCTATGGGAGTATATGATTGAACCACACACTATATAAGATATTCTATGGAAGTATATGATTGAACCACACACTATATAGATATTCTATGGGAGTATAT